AAGCAGCTTAGACGTGCTTTGGCTTTACAAAGTCTGATACTCTACCGTTTGTAGACGTAATTTGGTTTGAAGTTTCAAAATCACGAACTTTGTTTGAGCTGTCTCTATGTTTTACATGTTTTGGGTAGAGTATGGTAGCGTGCATGGGTATGATGAGCCACATTATAGCCGGCACGCGTGCTGGTGTGCAATCAGGCGAGTGATGGGTTGAGGCAATCACGTAAATTAGCAGGAGGCAAGGCTACAGTGAGCTGTTTCATGGAGCGAAACCTCAGAGCCAAGTGCGCGACTAATTTTAGGAGTACAGTATAGTTCAACACTCGATCGAATTATATTGTTGCGTAGTTTTGCAAGAAACAAAATGAATGCAGAATCGAAGGTCTTGTCCTTCCCTTCCCCCTCTTCTTGTATTTTTACACAGATGTCAAATAATAAATTTGTAACCGTCAGAGGAATGAGGGCCTTTGGTAACGCGACGCTGACGTGTTTGCACGTCTTGGTGTAGGAAAAATATTACATTCTTTCGATACGTATAAAAGATTCTAAGAGCTGCTGTAGAAGTGAAAAAACTCTCTACTGTGCAGATCAGTTGTAATGAGTTATTTGTCGGCAATTTTTTATGATGATCTGTCTTGTGGAACAGGTGTTTTATTAAACCAGGTTACTGATTCATAACACTACAACTGTTGAGTAAACATAGATATTTATTTTTATTTGTTTTTGTTTGGGATTTTGTAGTATTTGTTGAGAGTGCATTAATATAGGCAAACAAATATGAAAGCTGTCAGAATTTAGACACTTAATAGACGAAAACAAAATGTGTGTACTCTCCAAACAACCAGAGCTGAACGTCGCTGTATTGAGTTTAAGTCTCCTTCGATGTCTGCTCGTGTTGCTAATGTGTAACGCATCCAAGAATCTCTTGAGTAAATTTGTTTATGGATTAGGCATATCCAATGCTTAAAATTATAATTGCATTACTGTTCATCGTATATCTTTAGAATTCCATGCTACCGAGGATAAAGGTGACACTCACCACCATCTGTTGCCGAGGTTAAGAATGCGTGGAGCTTCTCTGCTATTTTCTCATGCACCTGTGGGGCAAGGTGCATAATTAAACATAACGGAGAACTTTACTCTGTCTACTGCTTGTTGACTCAACGCCTGACATCGGCAGCCGTCATGTCATGTCATGTTACCAATTAGCTCGGCAGGTGGGTGCCCTGTTTTTGTGTGCGCACTGTACGTAATCTACTGGATAGGATATTCAGTAGCACGGTGGTAGCAGCAGGGAGGGTTGTTGGCTGAGGTTTCTAACCGACCGGAATAAATCCGTTTCATCCCGACAACCCTCTGAAATTCTCTCCACATGGTCCCCGCGTTTTGCCAACCCTCCGACTTCCATTATCTCATTGTTGTCATTATCTTGTCGCTTCTGTGGTATGCTACTTTTATCATGTCATATGCTTACTGTACCGCACTCTTTTGTTGAACACGTTTTGTCTGCAAACACGAGGAATTGTGTTTGCCTTAACTTTTAAAACAGTTAAGGGTTGATTTTTCCATCAGGTTGTTTCGTTCTTAGATTGCTTATATTTTAATTTTGGAGTTGCCCTTTGCCGAAAATCTCATGGGAATTTAAAAGTGTGAAGCGTAGTTCGTACTTCGTTCAAGGAACATTATTGTTACACGTTACTTCACTATGTAGAGATACGAGTTCGGGAAATTCATCGTCATCACCGACTCAGAAATTTGTTGGCATCTCTTTTTGCCTGCCGACATATCTCTGTTCCCCTAGAACGACATTCCCATGCTGTCTTGGTAAAATATGTTGTTTCATTCGTTCTTTACGTGAGAGCCGCGGATTTCGGTGTCGTTGAATCTTGTTCCAGTGCTTATAGGCCCAAGTCTCCAGTTCCTGTCTAATGTATTCACTTATCTTGTTATTCAACAGGAAATAACCTCCGACAAGTCTTAAAAAAATGCCTGCTTTATCTGATTTTGGTCTGACTTTGTCATGACCCTGGTTTCGCTGCCATATATTAATGCGGGATCTACCATAACTTTGTAAGCCTGTAATTTAATTTGACTGTCCCTTCTAGCTTTTCCTCCCAACATAATTTTAATTGTTTCACATACGTGGTAAAATGTTGAAACACATGTCTTCTTCAGCTACATATGATATTTGGTACCATAATACCCATAACCTGTCATTATTTTGCTCTTTTGATATTAATATTCTATTGTAGGAAGTTTGTATTAGTCCGATTGGAAAAAAACCCTGATATTTAAAAATTATTTTCGTTCTCTACAATTATTAACTGGTCGTCAGCTTATAATAATGTTGAAAATTTTGATTCAACAACACTGAAATTTTCCTTGACTTTCCCATACAACATTCTCTAGTGGTATACAAATTAACTTAATTTCTTTTTCCAGAACGACGTTGCTGGGGGGTCACTCCAGAATTTGGCGTCCCTGTTTCTGCCTTCTGATTATCACACAAGCTTCACGTCCGCCGTTTCATTATCGCGTTTTGTAGGTTGAATGCTTCAGATGAATGGACAACTTGCTACATCGATTGTTCGTTCCATTGTGAGAGTGGAACAACACAGATGCCGGACACGTCAAGCTCCTGCCAAGCTTTTGTGCACTCCTCTTGCATTGTGCAGTGTTCTGGCTTCAGAGTGTGTGTGAATATTCTCTGCTCAGACTGGCGCTCGGAATTGGTTATGAGAAGTAATATTGTCCTTTACCAAGTACTGCAAGTTGTTTCTACATGTTGCTGATGAAAATGTATCACACAGCTAGTTATAATTCGTTGGACTGCAGCCATCCTCTTTATGGAATAAGTCCAAGAGTTTATAATGACATAATTTCAAGCTTTATTTCTATATTTCATTCTCTCACCTTTTTTCTTTTTTTTTGTGATCCTCCTCCTTATTCCATTCATTCTTCATAGCTTTTAAAACGACTAGTTTCCACTTACATAGGTTATGTGGCGTCCAATATGCTGATGATTATGAGTGGTTGAGACAAATATGAAAGGAGGCTTTCTTTTCTATTTTATACACCACCGAAGAATTTGTCTGGAGTTACTAAGAAAACCACGAAGAACCTCAGGCATGTTAGATATATGTAAAATGAAAAATTGCCATTAACGTTCTTAAGGTTTTATCCGACTACTACTTAATATGAATAAAATATTTTGTCGTACTTGTTTTTATTGAAATTATAAATTATTAAAATAATCAGTTATATTTGAGGATTTTAGTGCCAGACTTTATACATTCAACCTCTTTATTCCACCTCAAGATCAGACTTGAATTTCTTTACACAGACACACATCCCAGATCACCGGGTGTGCCTCAGATTTAGGGAGTGTATGGACGGCAAAGTGTGTCGAACGTTTAAATGAACTGGCATTAATGTTATCAGAGGTAAAGCAATCCTAATTTTACCTTCCGTTCCCAGCACCGGAAACGTTTCTCAGATAACGACAGGATTCCGTTTTCTGTGTCTTGTTTCACCTGTAGTGGATAAACGCGCCACTTCCTATTCGCCGTGTTGTACGTGTCAGCGTTTATGTCAGTTTGTTTACTGGACCAATCTGTGCACAGCGAAGAGAGAAAATGACTGAATTCAGCAACACGACATCCCCATTACCGTTTATTATGTAAAGTGCCGCTGTAGTCTCTAGACGTGTCGTGACAGTCGTGTGGTATGATAGCAATAATTAAACATTCAGCGCACTTCGTGTCAATCAGACTCACTTAACGCAGTTCCCGTTGCCCTGTATCCACTCTGTGGAAAAGATAAACAGTTATTCCGAGCACATATTAATTTCATCAGCTATTCGGGCTGTTCTCGCTCCAATGCTATGCTATTTATAGCTTTAGTCTATACCAGAGGTTTCCAAAGCGTGGTCTATGCACCAGTAGTTTTCTGTGAAGTTCATTCAAGAGATTGAGACCAATTCCTACTCTTTCACTTGCTTCAGTTCGTTCTAAGGTCACTTAGGGCGGCCGCACACCAACTGCTTCAAGACAAGCATCAAGACATGAGACAAAAGACGCATTCTTGCTTTATTCGTGATTCAGACTCGAGTCCGAACACCGAAGAAGCACGTGTCTGCGTCTTATCACATCTTCTCTAGTTGATGACATGACGTCGTCCAGTGAGGAAGATATTTTAATGTACATGTGGCTTAAATTACGCAAAAGAAGGAAAAGGAAGTGGGTTCATGACTTTAATGAGTCGTGTGCTCAACATGGTGCGTACGTTTTAGCGCGCGACTTGTTAAACGATCCGGTGAAATTCCAATCTTATTATCGAATGTCCCCAGAATCCTGTAAGGAACTTCTTCGGAGAGTTTCTCAACCGTCTGCACTATTTTAATATTTGTTTACTCTTAACTCATGTCGATAACGTACACTGGTGCTGTTCCTTGAGTACTGATGTCTCAGTCTTGACGCACAGAAAAGGAACATGCCGAGTCTCGATGCGCGTGTCTGCAGCATGAAGCTGACGTCAGCATCATGACTCAGACTGGTGTGTTCGGCGGTTTTCATAATCTCATTCGTTTCAACTGTGCTCCTTTCTTTGCGTCATGTCGCAGACATCGTGTCTTGACTGTTACATGGCTTGACGCATGCCGGTGTGCGGCCTACCTTAAGGTCCTAAATGCACCACAAGTGCCCTTTGCATACTCTGAAAGTTTTTGATGGCATACGAGCAGGTTATTACGGGAAAATTCATCCTCAGAAATTCAATTATTTTGATATTTAGTAGCACTTCATGAACTGGAGAACTCATCCTCAGAAATTCAATTATTTTGATATTTAGTAGCACTTCATGAACGGGAGATACGTTCATCGCCAAGAATTTTAGCCACACAGGACAGCACACTTGAGAAATCGTGTACAAACATCCGTTGCCAACTGTCTTGCTGTCCAAGTAGCCCATTGTTTCTAATATAATGTTCCATGCTGTTGTTACAGGTCATCCGCCACCCCACTACGATGTCGCACACTGTCCTTTGAAGCAGTCAGCGACCGACCACCATGGCGCGTGACGTGACACCATTGTTAGTGGCCGTCGCGTTCTGGTTTATTGCGCTGGGCGTCGGTTCAGCCAAACGCGTAACACACTTGCGTCACCAACAGCAGCAGGAAGATCTTGCATCGACTGATGACGTGTTCGCATCTCAGAGACGCGGAGCCAGCGCCGCTGCAGAGTATCAAACTCAGCGCCGAGGAGGAAAGTTGAAGAAACACCATATTCCTGCCCAGCCCTATGAGATTCCAAAGGAAAGAAAACCAAACATCATACTAATACTGACAGATGACCAGGATGTTGAGCTTGGTAAGAGGTACACCTTTTCTGGAAGTTCCTATTTGCTAATACTAAAGCCATTATTTGATTATTTCTTGTATCAGCGCTCAGCGCCTCCCACCACAAAACGGCATTTGCCGACAATTGTATGATGTGTTGGCAAAGTGCGTTGTAGTTACATGTTTTGCCTTCTCGTTCTGTAAACCGCTGCAGGATGTTCCTTGTTTTATTCTGGTGTGTAATCTGACCGCTGGGGCATGCGATCTCACGTGCCACTGTTTGATGCCGAAATGGAGATTTTTTTTTCAACGACGCTGCATTCTTCATTCGGCGTTGGGGCTTGCTATGTCGTATGTAGGCGGGGCGACTGGTCATCAAATCCCAGCGGCACTGTAGGTTTTTAATCATTCACGTCTCGCCAAGAGTTCGTTCTGTTGAATGCGATGTGGTCGTCTCTTCATCTCTCGTGATCACTCACTCTTCTTTCTTGTTTTTATTCTTGGTTTGTTTTCGGTGCGTGGAACTTAGTTTCCAGATTGTTTAATTAAATTTGGTAACCTTTCAGATGGAAGTATGTTTATCTCCGAAACGTCGTGGTTTTAACACACAGTCCAAAGGAAGAAAGTAGTATACATTGCTTTGTTTTTGCAAGTTAGAAATAAGTTGTCCTTGCATGTAGAATTTGTGTAGTTTTAAAGCCACTGAATTTCGTCGAAAGTATTTCATGGCCTACCCCTTTTGTGATTGATTATAAACACTCACGAAGAAGAGCGGCCTCCACAGGTTAATAACAGTGGTTCTACCCCGTCATTGCTGTTACTGTCAGTATTTGGACGACCTGAAGCAAACTTCTGAAACGTCGCGTGTGCGTTTTCCTCAGTCAGTGGCCAGTGTCCTACACAACTGTAGTGCTATCAGTCAGGATCTGTAAGCAGCTGTTAAAGAAATGCCCAGTATTTTGCTTGCCGATCTCAGTTCCCGCGCTTCCAATGTGTGTGGTTGTCGATCTCTCGGAACCTTGGATGTGGGCTCGAATCCCGATCGAATCAAAGATATTTGTCGTCGTCTTTCTGTGTTCTGTCCTGTGTAGGTAGAGGCCTTGCGAGGGGCCGACCTAACTCCCAGGGAGTCATGCCAACTCTCGAAATAAGGTTCCGAAACCTCGCATAAGGAGACGGCCAAGGTTCTCCAACAACTGTTGGGCCACAAGGGGAGGCGAGGGGGGGAGGTGAAGGCTTTCTCACTTGTTTTTCAAAGGCAGTTTGATCAAAATATTCCTATTGCCGCCCACAGACTGAGCGATTTGTCATTGTAGTCCTTCGGGAGGAAAGGACTGCTTATCTCTGTCAAGATTTTGTGACATGTATATAAAAACAATTAAATAAGACAGCGAGCAAATAAATCTTAGAGAGCTCGTTCAAAATTATTTTTGCGAATGTCTTTACAAACAGACATGCCCTAGTGTCCGGTCGTGCTGCCTGTTGTCTGCCGAAGTGCTCAGAAACGTTATGAACACTTGGCACAGCCAGTTCATTGTTATGAAACCTATTTGCTCGCTGTATCTTTACAGTACATTGCACTCGACCAGACGAATACCATCAGTGCTCATCTTGAAGAGCACTTCAGAAATCGTACCTTGAAGATGATTTAATGGGCGGGAAAGTAAAGTACCTTCACAGTGTCTGTGGAATGCGACAAGTGGAACACGAAGTTTTTTTTTTAAAGAAAACAAAAACTGACGGTTGTATCGACGGATTTTCGAATCTTAAATGACACATATCGCAACTGAGCCTCAAACAATACCTCAGTCACAATTACTATGTAGGGTTCATAGACTTAAAGACAGGCTAAGCATCAGTTGCTACAAGTGGGAAAGGAAACCTAGCGGCACTGCTAAGAATTTAAACTGTTCTTTTAGAATGTTAAGTGTATAGCACCGTGTCGAAACAGTAAAACATACTTACGTTTCGGAGGAACTTGCTGTTTCCCTCTTCAAGGAAAATTTCGATCTTACAGTGAATAGGAACCCATTGTTCAGACAAAGAAAGAGACATCGGTAAACCGTACTTTCGAGAGACTTTGCATCTGGCGAAGAAACGGGGACTTGTTTTGTGTTCCTACAGAAAAGACAGTCTGGACCAAGAACCTTCAGATACCTGCTTTTGGGCTTTTCCATTATTTTATAATTTAATATTATAAAACGTTGGATGTAATATCGATGACCATGGACACTGAATGGCGAGCAACGAGGAATGGGGAAATGCTCCCCTGTTTAACTTGCTGTCACGAATACCTACGGGAACTGAGGAAAACAACGAAACGCATTAGTCCGATTTGACGGTCCGTGCTAGGTTTCGAACCAGTACCTCCAGGATGCAAGACAGGCGCTGTAGTGGTGTTGTGACACGTCCGATTAGCGTCATTTGGTTAGCGTAAATGCGCCTGGAGGATAGGACACGGACAATTTGTGTTATGACGTCACGTGTACGATATCTCATGAACGTTCTACTTGATCAATAATATTCTGTTGGTTTAGTCCTACATGGCGAGGAAGTTCACAGTTGTTCGGATGGTTAAAGCCAGAAGCTTAAGTTGCATGTAGCATGAACTGGGGAAACAACGTTTATAAATAACTTAAGTTGGGTAATCTCATGCAAAGATAACACTTCAGATAATACAAGTTAAATAATAATATTGACAAGCAGGAACAATAATGCTCTTTTAATTGCTTTTGGGTCTGGCTAATGTTTGTTTTTGTCGATTTAGAATAAACTTTGAAGGAGAGGTTCTGTGAGATGCATTGAATTTAACTGTGTGATGTTGGATCAGAACCTTTGGTCTCTGCAACATCTGAATAGCCATCAAAATCCTGGAGGAAGTAGTTATTAGGTTATTTTTTTTCGTTATTTGGTTTGTCACTTAGCTGCTAAGCTTTCTGATTGTTAATTTGCTAGTTGTGTGATAATTTATGTACAATATTGGGCTTAAATGTTATATACATTTAGTGACTTATTTGTATACTTGTTAAGTTGCTTGATTATTGGTAATCTAATTGTTAAAGTGCATTTACATATGAACTTTCTTGTTTATTAGCATATTTTATTTACTTGTATAACTATGTATTCATTTGTAGGATCTGAGGTTCTCATGGCGGTGAGTACTAAGATGGCTGTCTTGTGGGTTGTTGCACCGCGCAGTCTGGTAAAAGTTTACCAACGTTTCAGAGGTCTTTGCTGCTACCATCATCAGGGCGATTATGGTAGCAGCAAGGACTTCCGAACCCCAGAAGACGACCATCTTCGACTATTACTTTACTTTCTTAAGATTAGTTTATTTAAGCAATTTAATTACTTGTTACTTCAGAATGTTTATCAGAGTTTTCACTGGAATGAAAAGAATGCTGTCTTGAACAGGTTCGCTCAACTTCATGCCTCGTACTTTGCGACTGTTACGAGATGGTGGTGCTGAGTTTCGACATGCGTACGTCACGACGCCGATGTGCTGCCCGTCGCGCAGCTCCCTACTCACCGGGATGTATGTCCACAACCACGAAGTGTTTACCAACAACGATAATTGTTCCAGCGCCCACTGGCAAGCAACCCACGAGACACGGTCTTTCGCCACGTACCTTTCTAATGCTGGCTACAGGACGGGTAAGTACATACGTCCTGTATCAAGTTTTTGTCCATGATTTCGCTATTCGGTTTGACTGGCTAGTTGAATAACTTCAAATTCGGGACGTCTGGGTTCGAGTCTTGGCCCGAAGGTCACGTACCTTTGATATTTTTCGTGACGTCGGTCGTTGGCTCCATGGCGAACGTTCGGTGCCGCGGTGAATGAAGCACCAGTAAATATAATTTAAGTGTGTTAACAAATTTGAGGCGTTTATTTTAAAAAAATTGAGCTCGTTTTATGCAGCTATTTTTATAAAATAAACAAATAATAGGACTGGCATGGACATTGGACATATCCACGTTTTCTCAAAATATTTTAAGCTTGAGAAGTACTGGCCTCCCCCTCCCATCAATTGCATAATATCGAGAATGTACGAAGATTATTTTTGGCAGAATTAATTTTGATTCGGAACAGGTCAGAGGGCCCATAACCCGTGAAAGTAGTAGAGGTTGCCTTTAACATTTTGAGGACAAGCCGCTCGTGTAAAACCCCAATATTTCACATGTAAGGTCGGAGTGACTGCCGAATTGCAAATGGTATTGGATCGATGAGGACTAATTTTAGCGTGAACTACCAGGAAGAATGCTGTTAGGAATTCAGCTTGGTTTTCATGCTCTCGCCGAAGCAGACTGGAGTTCAATATCCAGTTGATGGGCTAGAGTTACCTATTCCTCTTCATCCCATCATGTCCTCCATTCCTTTTTGTCGTACTATGTATAATTTGCCTGAAGTAAGATATGAATTCTTGACGCTTTATTCTAGTGCCTCCACCCCGTTTCCCAATGTAATCAGACACCAAGAGGCATAAAAGATGCGATTTTTTGCGCAGATGTGAGAATAATATTGAAAACAAATAGGGTGTTAAGGTGGAGACTTGATTTAAATGACTCAGAAGAGGGTCGAATAGTGGAATTTTGTAAACTAGATGATGAACTTCCAGGTTCCCTAAAAGCGGGGTGTGTTGACCACCTGAATAGTTAATTGTTCTAGAAACACCATCTTTTATTTAGTTTTCTGTAGTTAAGTGCCTCAGTGTACGAGTATTGTACGGTCTGTCTCATCTTCGTATGTCATGTCCCAGACAACTTGTATGTTCTACCGTGGTGCAGATCTAGTTTTGATGCGTGTCGACGTGTTAAATCTAACAACATTCTCTCTCAAAGTAAGGTAAGATAGAATTTTGTTGTCTTGTAGCGTTTATTCTTTAGTTATTTTTTGAAGGACTATGCGCATATCTGTCAGTCTGATCATTATACATACATTTAATCTGTGAGTTATAACTTACGCGACGGAATGTATTTCTACGAAATGATGACGAAATAGTGACGCAGAACAGTGGATTTCTCGTATGCAGAGCCAGTTGACACGCTCCTGGGGCAGTAAATATACTTGCAGTTAGGACTTTAACAGCAAATATTGGTTCGGGACAATGGCGTGAAGATTTTTTTTGAGACTAAAATCTTGTATGTGGAAAATCTTTCAACATGGTAAGTCCTTGTATGCTGCAATGTAGTTAGAGTTTACTTCTCGTAACGAGCAACGTAATTTTGTTGTGGAATTTATTCACTATATACCTTCAAACGTTATTAACGGCCAACGAAACCAAACTGTTCTAAAAGAAATCATTTCATTATGTGAATCGTACAAATATATATTGCCGTTTATCAGTGTTTACCACTTTTGTCAAGAAAGTGTTGGATATATGTAGCTTCTGAATTTTAACAGGTTATGGTCTCCTAGCAACCAGGTGACAGGCGAAGAGGAAAGTGTAACACGGTTTTGTATATAAGATATCGTTAACTGTAACCTCCATGTTACCAGAAGTGGGCGGATAGTACTTAATTAAACATTCTGCGTGTCGAAATTAGTTTCTGATAAAATCATTATGTTGTATGAAATTTGTACGGACTAACATTAAAGTTGCTTTAACAGCTATTGTTTTAGACTCTGTATTAAATGTTATCAAATATTAATATTTAATAATTTTGAAGATGAAGCATGTGGATAGATGTTAATTAACACATTTAGCTAAATATACACGATTATAGGAAAAAAAAGCTTGCGGCACGTTAGATCGGTATGGGTCGGTAGTGAAGTGACTGACTACGTTCTGGACGACTGTGGTTCGATGCCCGGCAGGAGTGCGGATTTCTTTATTTATTTCACTACTCCCTGTATTGGCTCTGGGAGACACACACACACACTCTTTTAAAGTTACAGGACGAATTGTTGAGTGAGTTTCTGTTTCACACAAACCCGAATTTGTGGCTGTCTACCAAAATACGTGGGAATAAAACTGTATATTCTTTTGTTTCTTGATATCTTCTACTGTAGTGATCATGACAATATATTCACAGTGCTTGTGGTGCGGGGGACAAGCTGTTGGCATTGTTGTCCGGTCTGCAATCCAACGCGCTATGTCTAAAAACGTGACACGAAATCTCCTTCTAGTACATGGTTCTTTATCCCATAACCGCTCCTCCGTCACGTTCAGTTTTCCCATTTTCTGTAGCAACAGGGTTATCCAAGTATTGTAGAAACAAGATATGGCGCCTGATTTCCTTGAAGTCCATTTACGGAACCGATGTTGAATTATCGCGTTACAGAAGTTCGCCACTGGCCCCTAACCCCAGCAAGATTAATTCAGTTCACAGCGCCACATCCTGTGTATTTTATATAATTTTTTTTACTGTCTTTCAGTCTACGCTTGCACTTCATCAAGTGATCACTTCCCTTTAGGCTCTCCGCATAAGATTTCGTATGAATTTCTCATTTCTCCCGCCCATCTCATTTTCGTTCGTCCAAATATATTTGATGAAAAGTACAAATTATGAAGATGCTAATGAAATAATTTTGATTTGTTACTGTCCTTTATAGATACTTGAACTCTGCACACACACCATAAAGCCCTTATCTGATTTCGAATCCACGATCATAGTGCATGAGCAGCGTAAATCTGTCGGCCCTCGTCTCTGTTGTCTGTATGGGCGAGTGAAGTCCGGCTTCTATGCTGACAGTTGGACATCACTGAGTCCTTTCCTTAACGCAAATTTATGTCCGTGTAAGGGTTACCAGGGCCACCAAGAACTGGTTGGAATTTAGAAAACCATAAAAAATAAATCCATATAGTTCACCTGGCATTCCAACAACCCACAGACGTTTGTCATCGTGTAATAGTTCCGCTCTGCATCGTTATACGCTTTATTTATAACGAACTCATCGTTGCTTAATGCTGAACTTTTCTCTATCGAATTGACGTAGTCATCATTCAGTGAATGTTTGTTCAGGTCGTGCCTTAATTCAGTGTGCGGTCGGTTGCCCATGGAGGGAAATAGAATAGGATTAATCTCACAGCGCAGGTTGGAATTTCATGTTTATTATACATTCATTTCACGTAAAAAATTTCTGGAAATGAGCATATAAAGGGGGAGGTCGTGACTATAGATCCTCCTATCTTCATGATTCGTATACGAAAGTACTGAACAGGCTCTGATGAAATTTCTGTCATAGGTTAGGCTAAAATTTTCTGGCAAACGTAATTTTGATTCGTAACGGCCTCCGATGTAGCGCCTGCTTTATGTGGGGTTGTCAATTTCTCTTTAATAACTGCATTCTTCCCCGGCCATATAACGATTATGATATCTCACCTCAGTCATATTTCATCTTACCATATCCTGAACTCTAAAAATAACACGATTATTATGTTTACCATGGGATCCTTTCCAAGAATTGTCGGTTGTTTTGGCACTGACCACATCTGAGCCTAACAGGTGGCCCAAAAGCTGTTTTCGGGTTCCTTCCATTAAGGTTGTTTTGACTCGGGCACTTCATAGAAGACAGCTCAGCAGGTCAATGTAGGGGTAACACTATAAAAGTGTAACTTTGAGGTACGCGATCGATTCTTGATCAGGATACCGCGAAACTCGGATAATGTTTTACATGGTTTTCCCTAGTTTCCTCAGAAGAATTCCGAGATAATGCCTTCAAATAAGTCCCGACTGCTTCCTCCGATGTCCTTTCCAATTTATTATTCATTAAAGATTCTATCATTTTGCGCTATACAGTCCGAGCTAATGACAACACCGTTAGATAAACCAGAAATGAATACAGAATTAAATTATATTGAAATAGAACAGAAGCCATAATATACTCTTTTGGAATGCTTTTCACGCACACGTGTCTTAATCTGGTGTGTCTTGCGGAAGTTTTTAATCACGGGGAATTCCTAACGTGAATTACTGTTGGGTCATAGGTCGGCAAGTACATCAACATAGTTGCGAAACTGTATAGACTCTGTTGCTCGTCATTTCTCTTAAACACTATTTTACCATATCTTACTGTGTCTGAACAAATTGCTTGTGTAATTTTAATTAAAATATTTAAAGAATAGTGCTCCGCAACTATCACAAACATTCCTTACGCATGGACATTAGCCTATTTCTGCTTCTCGTCTTTATTATATAGCCGTTTTACCTTCCATTCTGTATAAACCTGACGAATTCTTTGGCTGGCCGGCAGGTACCCCTGGAGGAAGTGGATTAACTGCGCGAGGTTACGCCTAAGTGATGTGAGCGAATTAGGGCTTCATTTCTGAACCAGCTCTTTGTTGGTCTCGAAGTAGAGGTAGGGAATTTTGTCCAAAGTCATCCAGTTTCATTATTTTATCGGTGGTCGCTGCAACATCGGACTGATGAAGAATCAGTCAAGATTTGTGCGTGGCTAATTATGCTGTTAGGCGGTCACAACCCAGAAGACCAGTACTGACTTCTCACCGCCGTGAGAATCTCATATCTCAGATAGAGAATATCACGACAATCGGTGGAATCGCTTACCACTACGTCAAATTTGTTCCGGTGAGAATTCAGGTTCTCTTAGGGGGGCGTATGGAAGATGATAAGCCTTCTGCCATATTTCACCATGTAGTAACGTAGAAGTTGACCTCTGGCCCTGATGATGGAAGCACTAAGTATCTGTGAAA